CCCTCACGGTCGGGAGGAGCAGACTGTCGAACAGTTTGTTTATACTTAGAAGAGGAATGAACAATCATCGAGTTCGGTGGAGGCTGATTGAACAAGAATTTTCCAGAAGATTCTTGAACTTTATAAAGGCCATCATAATGTTTCGATATAGGAGTGATGGAGACAGGATGGTCCAAAGACTCCTTGAGGACCGAAAGATGGACCGGAAGTAATGGGAAAATTGTCGAAGGTGGCAAATCCACTTGCACTAACATGAACAACATTGGTCACTGCAGGAGTTTTAGTAGAACCCCGCACTTGAAGGGCTGTAGCCATTCGCATAACAAGCTCCAAATAGGCTTTCAGACCTTTGGTGGGAGAGAAGGAACCTGAGCGAAGGGTCTCGTCCTCGATAGGAATGATATCAGGGTCAAGACCACCAGACACATAATTGTCAGATACTGAAGCTAGAGAAGGTGATTAAAGCTGCTGAGAAACATCAATAGGTGTTTGGTCATCAGTGGAAGGGTGATACCGAGGTTCTAATGGAGAATGCTTTGGGGCATCTGCCAACATCGATACATCTGGAGGCTGATCGAGCCCCAGGGAACTGACTGAGGCTACCGAGTGGGAACGCCTGGAATAGGACGAAGTCAGCCGGCATTCGTAGCAGTCAGTCTGTCTCAACCAGTCATAATGATCTGAGCAAGGGGTAGAAGACCTGGAATAAGAGCGAGGGTAATACACTCTATGGTGCCTGACATCTGGAGACCACGATCTATAATCGGAAGCTGATCTCGATGGAGAGGGCGAGCGATGGTAATGGTGTGGTCTGCTAGTGGGACCTCGACCTGGATCGACTTTGCATGAAATGCTCCCTGTCATCCAAAAGGTGGATAGGCATATGGGAGTCTCGGGAGCGAGACCGAAAGCCACAATGAGGAGTGCTGGTCAGGCGACTTTGAACGCTGACCCAGTGGAATACGCCCCAACAGTGAGGACAAAGTAGGCAGCAGCATTGGAGTCTGAAGGCTATGCTTATGTGAAGGGGGTGTCGCAGAAGATACCACCAGAGTCGGTCAAGAGACCGGAGATCACTATGGGATTGAGCTTCAGAGCCGAAGTCGACATAGAGGGCTTCGATTTTGGCTTAAACGACTGCTTGTCTTCATGCTTTTTAGACTTATGCTTTAGGGTTTTCGTATTGTCAGTGTTTTTGCAGAGCAGAAGACTGGGATACGACTGAAGACAGCCCTGCAAAGCTGCCTCGAGGAGAGCTGTTTAAAGTTGGGCCTCCCTATTTCTGCGGGCCTGACGGGTGAAGTTCGCACAATGGGGGCAGGAATCAACCCGGTGAGACTCACCCAGACAAAATAAAGATTGTGGCCATCGTTGGATGGAAGTTTGGCTAGACAACAACGACACATCTTAAAGAATTTTGTGCATCCATACAAACACCTCCCCGGCCGGGGGGGGGGGGGGGGGTGGGTAGAAAAAAAAATGGGGAAAAAAAAGAAAAATTTTTTTCCCCCGGGGAAAAAGA